ATGTAAATCAACAAAACGCATTGTCTTTGGATTCTTAATGGTGCATGTATAATAGTATTTATATTATACAGAGACTGTCTCAGATTTGAAGAATGATACAATCGGTTTATGGTGACATGGTTTGAACCTCTGACCCTAATAATATCTTTGTCTCACTTGACTGTCTCAGATTTGAAGAATGATACAATCGGTTTATGGTGACATGGTTTGAACCTCTGACCCTAATAATATCTTTGTCTCACTTGCACGAAAATCTCCAAACCATTTTGTCGCTATTATTTATTGTATCAATGTTTTTTTTTTGGTCAAAGGATTTATTGTATCAATGTAAACATAAAATAACGTCATGGTTATTTTCATGAACTAAACGAATTCAGTCATGAGAGGAATGAATTGCTAGATTTGCCTCAAGGATGTTTTCAAATGAATGAATCAAGGACCATTTCTTATGAAAATCATTAATGTATTCATCAAAGCACATGATACAGTAATTAACATCATTCAAAATTAAGTGCATGAATCATAAAAAGTGTTATGCAAATCATAAAAAAAGAAAATTAATCTTTAATTATTTTCTCATCATATTGTGAAGTTGAACGGTGTCACTCATTTTTTGTTTACAAAACCTATTTTACACTACCATAAATTTCATGCTAGAATAGAAACTTTTTTTCTCATCTATAAATAAATTAAACCAATATTATAAATATTGAGACTCTTCAGAAAACATACTTTAACTATAATACTAAATACAATTTTATGTATTATAAAATTATATATATATATATATATATATATATAAAGATAATTTTGTTAAATTAAATCACTTGAACTTAGCACAAACAAACTAAAATAGTTTTATTCATTTTCAAAATATTACAAAATAATTAAAACTATAAAAATTAAGAAATGAATGGAAAAAACTAAATTATTTACATAATAGTAAACAAAGACATTGACTACTTATGCATCAAAGGTACCTGCTTTATACCTATGCAACGACCTTAAATGAAATAAAATATTTGAACAGAATCTGATAAAATATATTTAAATGTTAATTATAATATAACTCAAACAAATAACAAAATAGAAAATCCATCGCATCATCAAATACTGTACCATTTAAATTATTTGTTGTTCTCCTTTTAGGCTGTATTATTTATGTCTCCAAACATTGACTTGGTTCTATACAATAATATTAACATTTTTACAATAGTCAACTCGCAATTGAACAATAGGTTTAATCCATCCGCCAGAATTTATGTCTAGATTATGGTCAATTTTTTATCCTAAATTTAATACTGTTAAATCAAAGATCAAAATGGACGTGCCATATCGTGCCATTAATCAGTACTACAAAAATCTTTTGTTTTTTTTATTTAACGCTGATTTATTATGATATTATAATTATGAGGAAAAAATACATTAATGATTCGACAACTAACAATATTACTTATTTTATGATGAGCTATACATAACTATACCACATGAGCCGTTCTATGAAGATTCACGCATAACCAAGTTTATTTACACTATTCTGAAAATCTTTTGTAAGTCTTATTTTTTTCTTTTTTTTTGGCTTATGCACCCAAGAAAAAAAAACTTAAACGACTTATAAAACTAAGGAAACCACCAACCAGTCTCAGCACAGATTAAACTAGGTCTTGGTTTATTTACCTAGAATGAAAGAACCAAACGATACCGAGTAAAGGAAAATAGAACAGAAACATAATCGAGTTTCATAAAGGTATGCATGTGTTCTGAAATCAGAAAATCAAAACCGAAGCAGAACCAAACTAAAAACAAAATGTGTAACCAACTTTTGATAATATAATTTGGACAATTCTCTCAAATGGCTCATTTTAATTTTTTTTGTTACAAAAAAACTATCAAGAAAGAAAATGACCAATAGAGATTTCATTAAAAAGGAAAAATATTTTTGTGCTCATTGCTTCATAAATATATAAATAATAAATATATAAACAAAAAAATAAAAAAAAATAAAAAATAAAAATAAAAAATATTTTTTATATTTTCGGATTATATGTTTGCAGATTCAAACTTTTTCTAATTTTTCTTTCCGATTTTTTTCTTTCATAATTTGTTCTTTGATTTTTTTTTTTAATTTAATTTTTGAAATTCGAAAAATAATTTTTAACTATTTTCAATTTTTAATATTTATTTCCTATTTTTGAATATTTTAAACCCTACTCTCAAACCCCACCACTTACTCTAAATAAAAAGGTATATGATTAGTTAACTTTAGGGGTATAAGATTATATTTACCCTTCACTAAAACCTTTTTAGTCATTTTCTATTTTAGAGGTTACTTTATGAAAATAAACTAAAAAATATTATCATACGGAATTTCTCATATAACTTCTAAACGTAAAAAATAATTATATTTGGTTTTGAAATAATACATATCTTAAAATTACTATTTATAACCAAACCAAAATCAAATTGAATTTTATAAATAACCAAAAATATTTTATTATTCTAGAATAAAAAACAAGAAACCAAATTAACCAAACCAAAAAAAAAAACTGAAATGCCTAGGACTGCATGAAACCTTCTTACCTTCAAGGCCGCTTTGAAAAAAAAAATCAGTACACTTTGAAGGATCTAAGATGTCGAAGGTTTGATCGCTATTGGAAGAGATCTTCATTCAAAATAAGAGTTAATTTAATAACATAAAAACCATTTGAATCCCTCACACCATATCAATGTCATAAGTTCATAACTCTTTAATATAGAAACGACTATTGTAGACAAGCAAAATATATTTTATCAAATGTAATTTTTTTCACTTAAAACTTTTTAAAAAGACAAAAAAAATTATCATATGCATCTTGCAAATGTAAACATAAATAATAAACCACGAAATCATACAAAAAAAATAGTAACTTAAATCACAATAGAATATATCCCACCCGTAGGGCGGACCGACTCTAGTTTATTATAATATATACAGTGGAATGCCATTAACATTTTTATGTCATGTTTATTATATTGGCCAATTGCCGACCGATTAACAAAACTGAACCAAGCAAATAATAAATTAATTGACCACTCCGATGCCACTAAACCGACTACGGGGTTGATTGGTAGAGCATTAGCATAAGCATTATGCTCTCTATTATCCAATCAACATCTGACAAAGAAGCATTTAGAAAAACATTTACCAAATGCAAATGCTCTCTAAATGCTCTTTGCTCAATGCTCTCATATAGAGCTTTTGGGAGAGCATTTGCATATAGAAAATATAAAACTTAATAATATTTATATATAATTAATTTATTTTTGTTTGATAATATAAACAATATTTTTATAATTAAATATAAATTTATATTTTAAAAATAAGAATAAATTATTATTTTTTTAAAAGATAACATAATATAATATAATTTATATATTATCGATATAAACATATTATTTAGACACTAATAAATAAATTATATACTAATTTCCTGATAATTTTATATATGAGTCATTTACTACTCTACCAATAAATAAATAATAATAATTTATATATAAATTATAATTATATATAAATTATAATTAATTTATATATAAATTATAATTAATTTATTTATTTAATCATATTAATATATGTTAATATCCGAAAATAGTTTAATATTTTAAAATAAATTTTACATTTTTAAATATAATTTATATAATGAATAAAATTCATTGTTTTTAATAAAAATATATATTATATATATATATTATAAATATATATATAAATATATATATATATATATATATATATTATTTTAAAAGAACTATTATGACAATTTTAAAATTGTATACTGCTAATACTTTGCCAAATCACTTTATTAAAAAATTTAGTGAAAGCATACAACTTCTACAGCATATTGCTTCTTCAGCATACTGCTATTGTTTTATCATCTGTTGTACCAATCCAGGACTACATACGAGACTTCTTCTTGAAATAAAAACATTTGGACCTGAAACTTTGACATTACTCCACCTAAATGAAAATAACATGTTTATGAATATTAGAATATCAGTCTTTTACATTTGAGTGCAATGTTTTTACAAACAAACACTATAAAAATAAAAGCATATTATTGATACGGAGATTAACACACTAGACTTTACACACCTTTTTAGTCTAATTTTCAAGACTTTGTAAATATTTTACAGATTGTATAAAATCACTAAAAACCTTTTTTAACAAAAAAGCAGTTCATATGTATATAGCAATGTGTTTACATACAACCACTAGAAAAAATAATGAACCGATTTGATACACAGATTAACAGACTCGACTTTATAAACTTTTAGTTTAGACTTTATAAGCATTTTATATTTTGTGTAAAAATCTATTCATAAATGGTATAGTCATTGTTGTCAGTACCAAAAAAAAGTGTATAGCCATTGTTGAAGTACGCTACTGAAGTTGACACATAACTGAGACATGTATATATGTTTAATGTAACTTTTTGTGCATGGTTTCTATGTATAAATGTGCAACAGAATATCACTGTTGCGTTGTAATTACCACACATAGAAATAACAAGACGACCACTCCTTGGTGATCAAATTTTGGGAACTAAAGTTGTACGTAAAAAACAAAATTGAGAACTATATATCTTCCTAAAATACAATAGGTAATTGATCAACTTATGCAATCTGTATATTTTCGATTTAAATCTACTATGAATAAAAGGGCATAATAAAGCCAAATGAACCTGTCCACGTGGGCAGAAATATTCACCCAATCATAATATTTCCTTTCACCACGTCAGCACACATCTTGGGCTTTTTTTTTAGATTCGTTTGGTTTAAAGATTGAGGTCCGTTAGTCCACGAACCCTAGAAAGCTGACGATGCTTCACTTCTCTGTTTCTTCACTATCTTTGCTTTCTTCGACATCGTTTCATCTTCTCGGAAAGAAGAGATGAAGAAGCCGGGCGGAACCGAGAAGAAGAGTCATCCTCCATCGCTCAAACTCCACAGAGAAAACAGCCAACATGATTCCATCGTCAGAGATAACGGAGGCGGCGATGTTGAGGGAAGTGGATGAAGAGGAGGAGGAGGAGAGGATACGGCGTCAGAAGAAGCTTGAAGAAGCACTCGAGGCCAAATCTCTTTGCCGCATCATCAGTGCTTACCTCAAGTATATTTTAACCTCTTCTTCTTTCTTTTGTTCTACTCAAATCATCTTTCGTTTTGTGGTATCCGAAACGGCAATATGATCGGGGTTGGATGAGAATTATCTGACTGATTACACCTTTAAATCACTCAATTATCAGATTATATTGTATTTTTTTATAATTAAATTTAAGTTAGAAGAACTTGATGTTCTTCAGACCAAACTAATATTACATGATATGGTTTTCTCATTCTGACATGAGGATTCGGTCCAGAAAACGTGTAGTTTGGTTATTTTGGTTCCCTTAGTTTATAATTTCAGAAGCTTCAATCACGTTTTGATTTCTCACTTTTTTTGTGAGTTAAGGTCGATGGAGATTAGTTTTCTTGTGATAGCCATGTTAGTGGGCTCATGCTTAGGCTTGGAAACTTATTGTAGTTACCCCGAGGCTGCGGAAGAGGATCTGAAAAAATGGGAAAGATCATATCGGAAGCTCTCTCCTGCGCACAAGGTAAAATTTTTTGTTGCATTAGTTGCGTACAGAGAGAAGTCAAAGTTCTTATCGTTATTCCTTTAGTTGTGTAATGTGTGAATTGATCCTTTTTTTTATAGTATGAACTAATGCACAATTTCGCATTTGCCCACACACAATAAGTAGCAGTCACAAATATAGAGTGGATAATAATTTTAAAATTCATGGGATCTGATGTGCAGAATATGTTTCTACTCATTAATTGAAGAATAACTGTATGATTTTACTTATGAATCTGATTCTGGGACTTTCCTTGGAGATTTTTTATTTTTAAATTTACTGGTCCATTGCAAGTGTTCTTAAGTTTACAGGCTTTAGTACCTCTCTCTCTCAGATAAGTACAGGGAAAGTGGGGAAAAGTGGACATGAACAGCCAGCAGGCGACAGACTGGTCCATCGCCTCTCTCTGCCAGCTCTCCCTCTGCATCTGGATTTGAATGTAATCCTGATCCTACTTCTGCTGCCTCCTCCTCCCTGCTCGCCTCCTTCTTCCATATACTGTGGGTCTCTTCGTTTTCTTCATTGAGAGTCTAAGAGAAGGTAAGTATCTGATTTCCTCATTATTTTCTTTTTTTTCAGCTTCTTTTGATTTTGGTTTGCAGGCTGCTTTGGTTCCAAGGATTTGCTGTGAGCATATTTTCTGTGGTTCAAGTGAGTTTCTTTTTTTAGTAATCTCTGTGATCTATCTGTTGTAAATCTCTTTGCTCTTAAGGTGTTAGATGGTAAGTTTGTAAGCTCTGTGATACTAACCTTCTTCCAATCTTTTTTTTTTTTTTACCATGTAAGTAAAATAGAGTTTTCGTCTGTTCAACAATGCTTAATGTTTCTGCTTTGTAGGAATGGACTGAGAGGAATGAGGATTGTTCCCTACTTGAGGCAATCTACGTGGCTCTTGATGAGGTAGGCTCATTGTTGTAGTAAAGAACATTAGAAGCTGGGAATGAGTATTGGTAAGATCTAAATCATACCAATTTGATTACAGGTCGCAAAACAAGCTGAATGTGAGATATATGTGTACAACCCAAATCCTAACGCTGATCCTTTCCTTGAAGGAGCAATGTGAGTTGCAACATCTTTCTGTTTTCGATCCACAGATTCTAGCCTGAATGTTAACTATAAAAGGCTACTTCCTTTTTTTGCTTTCTTTTTGGTCAAATCCAGACGGTCGTTCTGTTTCTTATTCTACAACGGAAAACAGAAGCGTGTTGCGGGTTTTGTTTCTGCTGCATAAGGTTTGATTGACTACCAAGTTTTCTGTTCTTTTTTCAGAACCTTTCTAAGAATTTAAAATGTCTGTTGCAGTAACCTGGCAATGATGCTTTTCTCGCTGACACACCTTCATACGAAGAAGATGAAGAGATCTTTGACGACATGGATATGTGATGATGATCTCTGTATCTTCATGCTGAACTACAGTCTGTAGAATTTATGTTAACTCATCAGTGTTAGATGTTATGCTCTGTAGTTTCTATACTACAAGGTTAAGCCCTTCGCTTTCCTTTTATATTTAACATAACTATACTCTTTACCCAGTCATATGTAAATAAGCTTTATCAGACTTTGTTGTACTTTAATGACCCAAAATGAAAGATATAAAATGTTGAGATTTGTGTTTATGTTCCGGTCATGCGGGTTTTAAGCTTCGAACTTCCAACAGTGTGTCTTTGATTCCGTCGGTTGGTTTTATAAACTAACCAAAGTAGTACATGATTGATCCTCTGACCGTTGATCTTGTGATTAGCTTCTCGGTCTTATATGAGCTTTGTATTTATATATTATTTTGACCACTTGTGATGTGTTACATATATGTTTTGATTTGTGTTTCTGAAGATTTAATATTATTAATGATGATGAGTGAAATGCTTTGCTATATTAATGATTGTTACTAAAAATCTAAAATTATTTTACTAATAATATCAAAATAAAAATAATATAAATATATGTATTTTTAATAACATTACCATGTGAATAAGACCCAACGTACAAACATGTTTTTCCTTAAATTAAGGTTTTCACTGCATATATATTTAAACATAATACATATGATTTATATAGTAGAAATGAATTTTTTAATATAATACATATTATTTATATTATGGCACTGACTATAAAAGTGAATCATTAGATAATTGTTTTTTGGTTTGTTTATTTTTATAAATTTATTTTATTTTAATATTGAAAACTAAATATAGATGGTGAGAAAATGAATAATAAATTAGATACTTCTTAGTTTGCTTTAAAATAAAGTCTTTGTTTGTTTTAAAATAAACTTTATTTATCATATAAATGTTTTTATCTTTCATATTTAGATTTTATCTAAAAAAAATTGTTATCTTTATATTTGTTTTGAACTCTGTGTTGACTTAATATTCACTAAGTTTTTTTGTTTTTTTCTTTCATTTTCAAAAAGATATAAACCAACATACAAATATGTTTTATCTTTCATAATGTATTAGAACTGACTATAAAATGAACCATAGAGAATTTAAATTTATTTTTAGTTTATAAAACAAAGTATTTATATCAGAAACTCTTTTTTTTTCCTGTGTACCATTTGTGCTCGAGTTACATAGAGAAGTAGTTTTAAACGGTGGAGTTGGTTTCTTACATCATCATTTCTATTTTAAAGGATTTTCATAGTGAACTCATTCAATATCGGCGAGCTCAGATGATCAAACAGATGTTTATTTCAGAAGAACTTATTGTAGACTCACACTTGCGCAGGGACAATGGCTTATGTCCTCTCATGCCAGAAGAGGTAAAACCCTGAGCTTTTCTCATGTTATACTAAAAATGCTTAATATGGACACATTTGTATATCTTAATACCCTTTACGGCTGCCTTGGAAACCTTTCTATGTGTTTTTCTTGGAGTTTCTAACGAACATAAATAGATGCATCATAAATTTTGCCGTTTATCACCATAATAACATTTAACAGTTAGCCGTTATAACTAAATTATTGATGTATTTTCAGTTATCATAAATATAGAATCAATTGACAACAACTAAATCATATCCAGCTTAATACAACAAAGAAAAGTTTCCATACCTTCTAATATTAATATCTCAATATATTAGTGGATAAATCAGTTGTCTCTCGCATAAACACTCACTTCATTTGTGGAGTTTAAGTTTTTCTATCTAATGACATTAGTAATTTTATCTACAAAAAAAAAAAGAAATGGTCGAACTATATACATTGTAACTGGAGAAAGAAAACAAACAGTAATCAACCGAAGACTTTAAAGGTATATGAACCTGAAGCTGAACGACTGACTGAAGTCATAAAACATTTTTTGTTTTGACGGATCCAAAAATGGTGTAATCAGTGTTGAGTGAAGAAGAAAAAAATGGAAGTCAAAAACATAATGAAAGTTCTGAGAAAAATGATGTATTTACTCAAAAACAAATTATGAGAAAATGAGTCATTACTGGATGTTAGTTCAACAAGTAATTGTAATGACGTCCGAAGAGTATATAAATATAAAATTATTAAACAATGAATACATATATACATACATCAACATACAACTTATTTGCACATAAAATTTTCATATATAACTCACGAATGACTAAAAATATATGTCATCAAAATATGTTGTATATTTGTGATAAATATTTCCAGTCACATTAATATTTTCATGAATTTTTTTTTCTTTGTAGCAAAATAGTAAACAATATAAATATCATATAAATTACTAAAAAAATACCATATCTTTTAAATAATTACAAAGAAAAGATAGAATCAAGGTACGAAAACTGGAAATAGCAATTCTTTTAATTAAAGAATCAGGCAATAAAATTGTAAAAATACAAAATAAAACAAAAATATACACAAAAAGAAAGATTTAGTAAAATAAAATCATAATACAATTTCCATAATTAATAGTGCTCAGTTAAGCTAAAAACTCTAAATTTACAACATACACAGTTTTATTTACATCTTTAAACATATTACCTAATTAAAATAATTTTAAAATAAATGACATCATGAAGATTGGAAAATATAAATAGAAAATATACAATAAAATATAATACATAAAATTTTAAAATTACATTATCACTTATCAATACAAAATCATGTTCGTAGCAATGAGTGAATGACAAACACATTTATTACAACGATAGAACGGCGCACAAAAAATGTTATTAAATACAAACAAAAAATTAAATATGCTCAACGTAAACACATATAAAAATGGGACATCATATTTGGATATATTTAAATAAATAATTTCATAAAATAATATACAAAAAACTAAAGAAATATTTTATAATTTCAAAATAATAAATGAATAAAATATATTGTGTTCATAAATATATTTTAGATTTTAAAGAATTCTAATTCATATAATATTATAAAATTCAAAAAATATTATAATTAATATTTAACCATTCGACATATTAAAATAATATTCTAAGTTGATATTCAATTGTCAGTTTCAAACTACTACACTATAAAAAAATATTACTAAGTACCCTTTTTGGCAAAGGGAGTTTAATATTTTAAGTAGGTTAATTGAGTACTTTTTCTTTTCGTGAATTTATTCAAGATGAGATTTCAATCTTTAAAACTAATATAATTTAAGTTCTAAGCATAATTTTTTTTTACATAACTCTAAAACCTCAAACTCGATTCTTCATATTTTATTATTTAATTATGTTATATATAATAGAAACATATTTGACAATAGTATAAATTTAATGGTATATTGAAGATAATTATATAACTAAATTAGTGCCAATGAAATACGTTCAAATACTTATTGCAAACTGAAATTATAAAATATTCAAATTTAAAAATTAGTTAAATATAACTTAAAATACAAAAAATTACATAAAAATAAAAAAAAATTAAATATATTTTCCGCGCGTAGCGCGGAGATAGGATCTAGTTCATTTAATGTCCTTAGGTGCTTCTCTTATATGCGTTATGATTATGAATACAAATAAGTTTATCAAAATTAATTAGAATTTTTAGGTATGAAAATATAAGCATATATGGGATCCTCAAATATTGTCTTACATATTTACTACTGAATGTAATCACGACTCAAAACTTTACTTTGTAACCTAGTAATATCCTTAAATATATATTTGGAGATACAAACGGTGCAATACATTTCAATTTTGGCTTAAATTATATGTAGGTTTCCTAACTTACACATAAAGGGAGTGCATTTTATATCAAATTCAAACTCTGTAATAACTCATAACATTTTTCTCATGAATATCTAATATACGCATCATACAGTAAATGTTTCCACGAAGCGCATAACATATGTACACATTGAAAGTCTCTGAAGGAGTTATCCGAATAAAGATGACCGGTCCTAAAATTTAGGGGTTTTTAATGATTTAGAAAAGATTTTAACAAATTTTAAGGGAAATTTAAGGTTTTATATCAATAAAAAAAAGTTTCATAGATTTTGAGGCGAATGTTTCCTTCAAATTTTCTCGGGACTGGTCCTACATATAACACTATATCATTTCTGGTGGTTTTTTTTGTCCACAACTATTTTTAAAGATTGAGTGGTGGTCGAGTTTGAGTCATTCCGAAGATACGTTCGGTTCGGCCGGATCTGATCAACATGAAAAATAAGAGTGCTGTTACTTCTCGCCATATTTGCTAGGGCGTCCACTCGTACGTTCCTCGTTTTGGGAAAATGGGAGATACAGAAACCCGAAAAACAGTCTTGTATGAAACGGAATGAGACCAGCTCCAAAGCAAAGACCGACCAGTCGATTGGACTCGCAATCATGTTCACCAAATCGGAATAGTCTGTATATACATGTATCGTGGTTACTTACAACGCACGTAAACAAAACATCGCCCAAATAAATCCTTCCATCTCCGCATGTAGTGCCGAGATGCTTTGCCGACATCCTTGAAATCCAAAATGTTCCACCCCCGTTTGATCTCAACCGAGTCCACTGACCAAACCATGATTGACCCATGAAGCATCAATTTGACAGATTAGGATCTTGTTGTCTATGAATGAGGTCGAACTGATAGCTGGGAGATGTGGTACATCATCTTCCTCTTCTTTCTCTTTAAGGTTTGCAATTCTCCAACATTCTGATTCTGTCTTAGCTAACTGAAGAGTGTCGATAAGTAAGATTTCTTTTCTATTAAACACTTTATCATTTATTGTCTTCCAAATGAACCACAAGATCCATGGATAGGTTTCAATAAGTGGTTCCAAATAGGTCACATATTTTTTCCTCCAAAAATGGAAATCCTTGTTTTGATAAACAAAGATACTCATGAATAAATCTGGATGGAGGAATAGTCCGATAAGGCTCACACTTACAATGAAGGGGGCATTCAAAAAGTAGGGGATTTATGGTCTCCTTTTGGTGGTTATTTATAAAAGGTCGATATAATTAATCATTACATATATAAGGTATAATGAATAAGAAATATCAGTCTTCAACCCGGTAAAACCGAATCAAAATATATTAAAAAAGTTTGGATTGGTAATATCATATAAACTTAATGATTGTTATTTTAAATAAATTGCAGTATATAGATATGGCTCAATATATAAATCGGCCAAACCAAATAAATCAATTAATTAAAATACAATAATGTAGTTATATATAAATTATAGAATATAATTGGTAATATATAAACATAGTTTATGATGATATGATCTTGATATTTAAGACATTAATTTGAATAATTTGAATAATTCATGAAGTATTATTATCAAGTAACAAAATATCATTTTATTGTGTTTTAAATATTCATTGACTAATTACTTAATTTAATTATTTAATAAGATTATGATTTTTCACTAAATTTATAATCATTACTTTTTATTTTTAGCTAATTGTTTAATAATTAAATAAAAATCTATTTAAAAGGTAAAATACTGAAAATATATTTTAGAAAAATATTATAAAAATAAATATATATATATATATAGGTTTTTGGATTAAAATTTAATAAACTGAAAACTGATAGTTTATGATGATATGATCTTGATATTTAAGACATTAATTTGAATAATTTGAATAATTCATGAAGTATTATTATCAAGTAACAAAATATCATTTTATTGTGTTTTAAATATTCATTGACTAATATTCTTGCTTAATTTAATTATTTAATAAGATTATGATTTATCACTAAATTTATAATCATTACTTTTTATTTTTAGCTAATTGTTTAATAATTAAATAAAAATCTATTTAAAAGGTAAAATACTGAAAATATATTTTAGAAAAATATTATAAAAATAAATAAATATATATATATAGGTTTTTGGATTAAAATTTAATAAACTGAAAACTGATAGTATAAACCGAATCTAACCAATTAAATACGGTTTTCATGAGAAAGTAAATTTTGTGAACCGAAATATCAAAAAACTGGAACGAAATTTGGATTGAACAACCATTTGAAATATGCAATATTATAGTTTTAAATATTAATTTCACTATGTGCATGGCACATCTTATTACCTAGTATTTTGTATTCTATGTCCAATAAATTTCTTTTAGTTGATTTCTTATTCTAAATAGCTGATAAATCAAATTTATTGACAGTTTGAGACTTAATTTTCAATTTCAGTTGTCCCTTATTAACAAATTCTCAAACTTTCCTAAACGTCTCTAATAATATAAAAATTATTAGAACTCAACTAATATATGCAACACGCGTCATATGCGGTTTATATTAAGCATCCGGTTTAAAGCCAATTCGCACTAAACCGCATCTCTTAACCGAAGAATTAGCCTCTCTTTACAAGGTTTATGCCCCCTCTTAGATCATCATCATCATGATGGAGGACTCTTCTTGCATATGGGTCTCCCAATGAAGATGCAGATAATTCTGGTTGGTTTTCGCATAAGCGGAGTATTTCACCATTGCAAGATCAGCAAACAGCTCGATCATGGCAATATTCATCAAAGTATCTTCCTCAAGTTTTGCTTACAATTCTTCCTCACTTTCCTCAACTTCTCTAGGAGCAGTTTCTTCTTCAGCACGCACCAAGAGATCATCATAAGCTCTCATACACTCATCAGTGAACCTCTCCATGGCTTCAAAAATCCGCTGCAAACTACCTTGTAAACTATCGTTACTAGTATCACTCTGATAAACAACGTTCCCAGACACCGAAAGACCATCACCATGAGCCACAAGAACCATTTTCTTTTCAAGTGCTTGAATCTCCCTGTGTATCCTCTGTTCCTCCCGGTCCATGTTCCTAACTTTCTCCTGCCCCATCATGGTCGTTTCTAACCGATCTTGCTCCCAAAGCTGAAGCACACTTGTTGTGAAACTACGCATTGCCTCAATCACTTCCTTCTCAGAGATCCTGTCCAAAGCTTGAGACCATTGGTTACAGATCACAAAGATTGGTGGAGCTCCAAGCCTACCAGGCGAGAAAGGAGCGATACCATCAGCTGTTTCCTCCGGTTCATAGAGAAGACACTTCATGAGCCATTTATTCAACTCACTTACATAACCTTTCTGCGAGTTAACCCAGCTAGAGAATCCTAGTATCCAGTTTATAAGCTCATGACCAAGCAAACTAGTTGCCTCTAGATGTTCATCTCCTAGCTTCTTGCTAGCTTTTATAGACCCTAACCCTCTAGCTTCCTTTATAGCCTGGCACTGACTTTGATGACACTCAAGCATTTCTTTCCACATTCTTGTAAGCCTAAGAGGCAAATCAAACACAGAATTAACATCTCCAAACGCAAACATCTAAAACATGTAGAGAGTCAAAGCTTTACCCTTGGATCAATGCATTCAGTTGCGGCCACAGGTCTTCATCTCTAATCTTATTAATCGTCACAGATATTTTATCCACAACCTGAATAGCAATCCGTATCTTTGTGTTCATGTCTCTTACTAGCTTCCGTGTTGTATCCACTTTACTAGCTTCAGCACCTCTTTCATCCAAACGCTTTAGCTTCCTCACCTTTTTCTCGTGAGCTAAACGCATTTTTTCCTCGGCCTAGACAAGAGTAGAAGCTTTCTTCAGACAAAGGAACTGAAACACATCTGTAAGAGATAAACATTACCTTCACTTCGTGGTAAAGCTTCTTCTCCCAGAGATGGAGTTTGTGCAATGTTGAAGAGAGGTTTCTTGACCTTGAAGCAAGCTCTTCTTCAATGTCTGCATACGTTGGTGGCTCAGCAACAGAAGTAGAAGGAGTAGTAACACCGTGCAACAATTTTGAAGCTGCTGCTCCAAAATAGAAACTTAATCAGTGAAAGATCACAAGATCATCCGGACAAAAACTGAAAAGTTTTATTACCATGTTTCCGACCGTAGGGATGCTTCCCAACTTCAAGTAACTTAGCGATCTCACTTCCTGACTCTGCAGCTTTCACGAACTGATTCTCAATCTCTTTCGCAACCTCAGGCACCGCACGTGGCCCACCACCTCCTCCACGTGCCGCCGTGGCATTGCTCCCGTTTCCGCCATCTTCAACAACCGTCTTCTCAACAACGTGCACTTCGTACTCAACTCCCTTCTTCTCCACTGACACGCTCGGTCTAGTCTGAAACATAGACGCATCTCCACCACTAGTACTAGCGCCGGATTCATCAACAGACACCCCCGGAGACTCAGACTCAGACTCTTCACTGTAAACAACGGCAGGAGTCGGTTTATTATTACCACCGTGAACTTCCTTAACAACCTCGTACTGAGAATCGTCGTCCTCCAGCTCAGGTATACCTTCTTCTTCCCTAAGCTCTCTAGAATCTCGACTCGGAGAATAAGAAGGATAGTAAGCCTCGAAGGGATTCAAGAAATCCCACCCGTTAGACCTAGGCGGGGAGGGAGGAGGTTTAGAAGCTGGAGCATCAGTTGAAGAACCGTAGTATCCGGGTCCGGGTCCAGGATTTGAGTATCCGAAATAAGGGTAAGTAGAAGAAGATGATGATTCACCTATGTAGACTCTTTGAGAGCTACTAGGTCTTTGCTCATAGATGACAGAAGGAGGCATTGAACTGTTCTTCATGTAATTCATGTGCATATATGATGGAGGAGGAGGAAGATGACCCATCATTTCCGGGTTCGGGTACCGGGTATAACCCGGTTGTGCTTCCATGTAAGGTCCGGACTCGAAATTCCCGAGATGGTGGTGGTGAGGAGAGTGGTGATGTAAAGAATCCAAATCGCCTTCTTCATCGGAATCCGAATCCGAGTCCGAGTCGAACTCGAGATGACCCGAGTCATTATCAGAGCCCGGACCCGGATGAGAAGAAGGTAGATTTTTTGGTTTTTTAGGTGAATTTACTCCTGTTTGGTCGTTTACTTGTTCTTCGGGGTCGCCTTTTCTTTGAGGAGGAAGGTTGAGTCTGGGAGAATCGACGAGACGGTGGTGGTGGTTGATGAAGAGATGGAGTGAGTGACCTATTCCTTTAAGCGAGTGAGTGTACGCCACGTGTGATTCCGCTAATAGGTAACGTTGCTGAATCGCCGCTTCTAGGAATGAGCACCGTTCACGGCAAAGAGCTACCGCTGGAAGATCCTCCAGCTTTGAACTTGTACAACCCATCACACTAATTCTTTAAAGAAATAAAAACACAAATTTAAATTAATAAGAAAGACAAGATTTGAGAAAATAGACAGAGTTGAAAAAGTAGGTGAGATGAAGAAGAAGAAGAAGCGAAGGTGTGTTGATAGTGATAGAAAAAAAAAGATTGTTTTCTCGAGGAAGAATTATTTCAAATCTATGCAAAGAAAAGAGAGAGAGAGAGAGATCAAAATGAATGTTTTAGTTCAAGAAGAAGAATGAAGGAGAAAAAAAAAACAGCAAAAGGACTGTGAAGGAATCTTGCCAGCACCGAGATTTTCGTCTGCTTCTCCCAAAGGATCAGTCGGTGTTCTTTTCGTCATTTTAATTAATCTCAGCAAATTAATTTAACCAAATCCGGTAGAAAGAAAAATGAAAACCTTTTTTCGGAGAGTACTTTGAGAGGTTCAGACAGAAGACATGGATCTTAAAACAAAGATACGGTTAGTTCTGGTCTTTTAAGTATAGTAGAAGTAGTACTGTCCTATTCAACTTTGGCTTTAGGTTTTGGTAGGTAACTTTTACCCGTCTTGACCATTTTATTATATTCTCAAGAATACCCTTACCAATAGTCTTTAATTACGTAACGACAGTATTTGATTTGGACACTCATTATTACATGATGCTAACGGGTAACGTCAGAAAATAAACGAGGAATGTACATGACTCCTCTTCTTTTTGAAATAAATAATTAAATGGATCCAAAGTCAAGATTTAATATTGATTATGGTTTAGGGGAAATAGATTATTATTTTAAAACAATTGGTTGAGATCGGAAGAAGGTGAGGTGACAGAGAGAGAAAGTTAGAGAGAGAAAGTAGATCTAGAGGACTTCCGGCGGTCGATCGGCGCGTGAGCGTCTGTGCCGTCGCCGGAACCCTCTCATTTTCTTCGTTTGTGTTCCCATGTCTTCCCTCTCTACTGCCCTGTCAACGACCGCTTTGTTCAAGCTCTGATTCCGCAACCATTCTCAAGGGAAGCACGGTTCTTTGGAGTACGGACGCGATTGTCGGAAGGTCTTTGTTGGAGAGGGAGCGCTTTGTGTGTAGTGGTGAAGTGTTGCCGAGAGGCGGAGGCTAAGAAAGATCCGTCGTCGTCGGCTTCTCTGCGGGAGGTGGGTGCTTACTCAGATCCACCATCGTCGCTTCAGTATCCGGGAAGGGGAACTTCCGTCAGCTTCGCCGTCGCCGACTTTTGGTCGCGGAGAGGGGAGGCTTTCAAAGCTCCTCGCTGTCGTCTAGGTACCCTTGTCCTTTTGGGTTAAGTATTATCTATTTCGATTTAGGTTTGTTTGGTCTAGTTGTCGGTTTTAAGGTTCTGGTGTTTATCGGATGAGAGCTTGTAAGAAGATGAAGTTTTCCGGTGAAGGTGGCGACTGTTTTAAAAAAGAAAGTATTGGTTCTTGGGTGCGCTAGTCTAGGGTTTGAAGTTTTGCAGAGTCGGAGGAGATCTCGGTGTATGACCGATGGAACTCGCCGGCGGGAAGACAAGGCGTTTGAAGAACGATTTAAGGTTTCGGTTGGAGGCTTGTCAGTTTCCAAGCTCCGACGAAAGTTGCTCCTATGGCGGCGAGGCGGATGCGAGAAAGTTGAGGCAGTTGAGACGCGTGCCGTGTGAACGATCAAGATCTCTCCACGTGTCGGCTTCCTTGTCTTGATCCGTTTAGGTCGTGTAGGTTTGTTTGGTTTAGACCGATGGTCCATTTATCTGTCTGTTGTCTGGGCTTGTTACCCGCTGGACTTTGTGTGTTGGTGCTGTATGGGATATTTGTCTGTTCTGGGCCTGGCCCATTTTTTAATATTAAAACTTTGACGGAAAAAAAAAGATTATTATTTTAATAAAATCCTTCTCTGTAGTTGGTTTGGGTGTCCAAACTAGAGACGTAACTGAATGGATGCTGTTACCAAAAACAAATCTTCAGCCTTCAGGTGTGATGCTAACGTCGTCAGGGTTGTTCTTCTCCCATTGACTAGACTTTTTGTGTTTTACTTTATTAATGTGTTTTTTCTAACATCGTTTTATTAATGTGTTATATCATTTGAATATGTATATATATAATATACTAGTAATGTTTAGTCAATGGAAATTTAATTGCACGAGTCAATCTTCAAGTGTGGAAAAAACAATGGTGATTTATTTTCGGCCATTAAATTTTAGATTTTCAGGCCTGTAACGTCTTTTGGTGAAGAAAATAATAATTATATCTAAAAGTAATTTATTTATTAAGGTGTTATTTTATTATCTTCGTAAATTTGGAGAGACACGTGAATTTTGTTTTCGTTATGTTAGGAAGATTTGCACAAAAATGCAAAAGACATGTTTCTACATGATCTTTTTATACCTCATATTTTTCAAATAAAAATCACTGAAACTACTTAACAAAACTCATATAGTTTTCTTTTTCACTCATATATCTTGTTTGACCGGATTCACACAATAGTACTAGGTTTTTTTTACTTGTCGTCGAAACTGTGTAGAACACGAGTAAGCACAATGTGACAAGAAAACAAATCAGTTCCATTGCGAGGAAATGTGGTGACGAGTTTATAGCAAAACTTTATTCATTCAGAGCCCCAAGAATCAGGATACCTAGCGATACTTAGCAAAGCCTTTTATAATTGATATATGAATGCTATTTTACGCAAAATAACTTGGTGCAGAAGCAATTCCCTTTTGTTTTCTTTTTACTTTTATTAACAAGAGTATTTGCACCGTATATACACACAAAACCACCAAATTAGGTATATACCATATTTCCCTCTATCTCTCTCCTTTTCAGTTACCACTTTTTCCCCCTTTTTTATGGTATCTCAGTATTTGCTGGTATTTAACTAATTCACCTTATTAACAAACTCTTACTACTACTTTTCATGTTTCTTTTTCCTATCACATGACTTGCCTTTTTACTGAATGCTAAAACCGTCATTTTCCAAAATTAAGACATGGTAACTATAGGTAAGAACTCCTATTTTATGCTCAAATGGTGGAGTCATAGGACTAAAAAATCTTCTACATCTTTAAACCTATAGCAAGTCTCGGCATTAGAAACTAAGTTGCATGAAAATTTCGGTCAAGATCCGTTTCTTGTTTCAAAAACGTTTCGGAAGCGAAATCTCTTGAAAACTTGAGGAAAATTTTTGGAAATGCTTTTCTTAAATAATTCATTTTGGAAACATCATAGAAACTTGCGTTTCTGATTTAGAAACTCGCGATTCTGATTGAAAACGCGAAAGAATAATTATTTGGTATTAGTGATTACATATTTATTAACTTATTTTAATATTATATCTCAATATTAGCTATCATTTTAGTATAATGGTTTGATCTGGAATTAAGTCGGCTCCATAATTTTTTCAATAATAATATGTGTTAGTTTTTTTAATTATTGATTAACCTTTTTATAAAATGTATCATGAAAGATAACACTTATACTATTTAATGTCTCTCTTAAATAAATCAAACAAAAAAATTAAACATATATGTTAACTAATCATATATATATATATAGACAGTTTTAAAACGTTTCCATTTCTAGTTTTTATAAAAAATATGTTTCCACATTTCGAGACGTTTCAGATTCTATGCAATCTAGATTAGAAGTAGATAAGCTGACTGAATAATTAGTCAATGTGCGAGTGATTCCACTGATATATTTAGTTCTCCACAGTGTATTTGCTATATTGCCATTTTCAGTGATCCATAAAGCAGACAATGTTTTTAGTCAAATGCTGAATCCAACAAAAGCTTACAATCTATATCCATTTATTGGTAACCAAATTAACCAGTACGTTCTTTTTCATTTAAAACATTCATTGTAACAAGACCAAAAGAATCTTTGTCCATGTAACATTGTAACACAATCGATTCAGTTAGTAATTAAATCAAGTAATTTGCACTTCACTACTCTTTAATAAGAATTTTCATTCCCTTGAAAATTCACTATCTTATAATAACATTATCCATTTCACCGAAAGAAAAACACTTAATAGGAACGTTATAATCATCCATTTACCGAAAGTAAAAAAAACACAGCGTAAATGGTGCTTACTTGTTTTTTTGGTTTCAAGTTGGATGTTTTAGTTTATTCTGTAGTTGTTTGTATTGTTTGATAAGAAATACATCTCTTACAACTATGACATAGCATAGTGGTTTGTATAAGTGAATTTATAGTGTTAATACTCTGGTTCATTTCGATGCAATGCATGCTTCACAGAAAATCCAAAATAGTAGAGAGATATTTAATGGTTTGGCAAATGTCCAAAATCTTGGTGATGTTAGGTGGAAAATATAAGAAGACCATGTTGATTCAGAGGTGGTGATATTATGAGAACGTTACTTTGGTCCCCTGCCCAACTTCAATTAGTCAATTTATTGTTACATTTTGGGGAAAGCGTGATGAAGTAAATTTTACATAATAAACTTTGAAGTGTAAGTATGAAAACGTAAAAATAAATAAAGGAAGAGGGATATTTTAACAGTAGAGTACTAAGACAATGAATTAATGCATTGCGACGTCGCCTTCTTCTTGTCCCTTTCACCTTTTTATCTTCCTCACTTTCTTTAGCTTATCAAGTTTAGCACGTTCAAGTTCTAACACCATTTAACTTGCTGATTCTAGAATCTAGCTTACTGTATTGTATATATTAGTGTTAAAAAATAAAAAGCTTGCTGTATTGTATATATTTTTATTTATTTTGGTTTGGAGATGACAGTATTTGAAATATCTTCTTCTTCTTTTTTTGTTAAAGCACATAAAGTAATATTATATTTTTAAAAATCAAATTAATCGGCATACTTCACTTACTTTTTAAAATAATACAGAAGCTATACAACGTAGCTATAAAGTTTGCTAAAAGTAACTACTATTAAGTAGCAACATTTTGTCAAAGCAAACGTTTCTTTATATATAGCAAAATGTTTATCGAAGCGAAGTTTGTAAATGAATTATCCTAAACGCTAAAACATATTCTTTAGTTATCATTTTAAATTTTTACACACAAATTAAGAAAATAATGAATTTTGCATGTTTTCAAAATAAAAACACATATATCTATACTTCTAACCACATTTCAACCAATAAAAAAATAAAATAACATTTAAAATCAATAAATGTTGTATTAAAATTATAAAACAACATTTATTTTGAAACGAAA